GCACAGTTCACATCCACAAAAACATCCCTACAAATCCAAAGAAAGTATAGATGTATTCATGGGCCTTGCAGCAGAGAAAAGTAAAAAAATTAGCATTTTATTTGGAGGGTCATTCACAAAGCTGCCATAGGCAGCCGAGTGAATAACATACCCGAAATGAAGTGAGCTGAACGTTGTTCGGCTATTCACTTCAGGCTTGTACCTCTATGGTACCGAGCAGAATAGAAAAACAGTTTTAAAAAGTAGGGGAAAAAAACGATTGGGCGGAGCTAGCAGTGACCGCTAGCTCTGCCCAACTGTTTTCTATTGGCCGGGACCAGCTGTCATTACAACGAGAGCTTGTCGGAGCCGGCGGTGGTATGTAAGCCGGCTCTGCTGAGTTCTCATGGTACTGACAGATCGGCGTCCCCTGGTTACCCAGTAACCAGGGGACGCTGAACTGTCAGTACCATGAGAGCTCAGCAGAGTTGGCTTTCATATCACCGACAAGCTCTCATTGTAATGACAGATCAGCGTCCTTGGTAACCAGAGGACGCTAATCCTATCTGCAAGTGGCCGGAGCCAGCTGTGAGATGACAGCTGTCAGTAGCAGGCTGTCGGCCGGCAAGCTTCTACTACTAAACAATTTCAGTTTTGTTTTTTTTATTAAATTGTACAGATAATAGGTCTAATCAAAGGTGGGGAAAACAATCAAGTGATTTATCTAGATCTGATTTTTATTTTTTACATCTCGAAAACCTGGCCTTTTTTATAGGGGTGTATAGATTAGATTTTTTTTTATTTTTTTACACCCTCTCTAAATGTATGTCTGTAATGGAAATGTACAGCCTACACCTGTATAGAAACACAGGTTTCACAGTGCATTGGTTTAGAGTATATAATCCTCATTTACTCCCTTGCTTTGATCTTGACAGAAATCTAGTGGGATTGTGAATTACTGTACCCTGATGCACTGTTATTATTTAGCAGTATTAAAGAGACGTTAAATGTAATAACAAAAGGCTGTGCTGTAAAAGTACTGTCAGCATCCTTCAGGTGTTCATTTAATTTGCATACTGTCAAAAATAAAATATTTTTTTCATTTTATATACCACTTTAAACATGGTTTGGGTAGACATAAAGATCATATTTTCCCTACATATTATTTTGGGTGTGCACACTACTGCAACGTGTAGTTTAAATGTGGCATATTCATTGTACATTAACCATTTACATGTGGCTTATTCATTGTACCCTAAACATGTGCAAGCTGTTTCTTAAGGTAGTGCTAAAGACAAGAAAAGTGGATTGGAAATGATAAAGTAGGGAGAAGATCAGCTAACTTTGCATGTACATGCTGATTGTGGAAATATGGGAAGCAGCTAGCTAAATTTATCCTCTAGCTGGGAGTTACCTCATTAGGCTAGAGCTAAAATTAAGATTTTTAGTAGCTCAGTTGCACAACGAATGGTGGCTTATGGAGTGATCTACACAAGTAGCATATAGTAATGCTCCATCTCTTATGATGATCCAATCATGTGCAATTGCTACAAGATGCTGTTGCTTATTAAGAGTGATATTCAACAGCTGTCCACATTCACAGTAAATGTAGGCATGAAATGTTAAAGACATATAGTTAAATGTCAGAGGAGCGAATTTCGAAAGATTCACTTTGCAGATGCATCCTTTATAAATATACATTACATAGTGACCAGCGGTTGGAGCTCTGGAGTCTTTTAACTTTAAGATCATTGCAGTTCTTACTCTATGCTGCAGTGCAATTTGATTCTCCATTCAGCTCCAATATAGCCACTATTACACCACAACTGGTATGAATTGGAGGGTCTTTGTTCAAGAACCCCCAAAATGATATTAAAGTAATAAATGCTTACCAATTTTTATCCTTACTGCATTCTCAGCATTAAGGAAAAACATGCCCCAGTACAATTACATTCTCCTTGGTGCCCAAACCCTTACATAGTTTCCCTGATCACTGCTGCCGGCTTCAGATCCACCGTCCGCTTCCACAAACTTCTGGATGGGGGAGTGCATGTCCTGTTCCCATCGCATGCACATTTACTAGGGACGGTACAGGCTCCATCTATTTTCAATTATGGGCTTGTAGGAGGCAGGAGTTGGGAAGTGGTTCTTTCTGTGAACGCAAGTAGACCGCTGTATTGCCAGAGAGTGTGCACGCAACGGTGGCTCCATGGGACACTAAGAAGAGAGAGCCACCCAAAGACGGGAACTAAGGAAGGGGGATGTCTCGGTAAAGAATCTGATAGCAGCCTTAAAAGATAAACAGACATGCAAATACGGTAAGTGCTGAAGTCTGCAGCACTACCGTATGTTTTTTAATTAGGGTGTAAAGTGTTTTATATACAGCTGTTAAATGTATTTTGAAAAACAGTGCTGTATAATAAATGGAATAATAAAAAAAAAAACTTATCATACAACACATACTGTAGAACAAGCATGGCCAGCATGGGATAAGGCACTTGGGATACCAGAAGCTAGATTATGGCATATAATGGGAAACTAGGCACATCCTCCAGCGAAGCAGGACCAGGATAAGGTGGATGGAGAAACACAATAGTGGCCAGAGAATAGTATGCTGGAATTGTGCAGCAGAGCAAGGCCCTTACCAAGCTGTAGCACCGAGGTGTATGAGATGCACAGGTAATCTGAAAAGTGGAGTAGCCCCAGACAACAATGTTTCACCTTTAGAGCCGATTCACACTTGTGGCAATGCGCGCTAAAACGTGTGAACGTGTGTTGCCAAAATGCATGGTAATGCAACTGCTCTACGTGCAATGTGTTTTGCGGTGCCATTCATTGAAAATAGCACCTAGTTGGATTGTACAGTAGAGCACAATGTATATACTGTGTGATGTGATGCACTGCGTTTTCAAAATAAGAGCATTCACTTTTTTTTTTTATTCTCTATGGTATGCTACCAGCCCATTCATAATGAATAGCCACAAAGAAGCACTTTGAAGGGAATGGTCCCCAAGTTTAGACCCGTTGGGAAAATGGAATGTGGTGGTTGCTGCTGTGGATAACAGCACTCTTCACATTACTTGCTGCATAAGCCCATATTATTTTCTCTGAAAATCTTATCAGTTGGCACTACATGCTCAATATACACACACTGGTATTCAGTACATCTTTGTAGTACCCATTAAGGGATACATTGTTGTGAGATATTGAGTATATGCATTATTTGTGAGCCTACATATACTCCCACCAGTTAATTCAGGACAAACAACCCTCAGCTCTTTTCAAGTGAGAAAGGCTTTTTTGAGATTTCGGACCTGAAGTATACAAGCAATGTATGAGGTCAAGTGTGTATTAACCTCCTTGGCGGTATTCCCGAGTTTGGCATCCGGGTTCTGTCTATTGCGAGCGTCTGCGTCGCAGGGGGGCGGAACCGGCGGGAATTTTTTGCTCCCTTTTTGTCTGTTAAATGTCAAACAAAACACTTTTAATTAGGGATGTTCAGATACCAGTGGCTATAATTGCCATTTTCATGAGAACTACCAGGGTTGCAGCTGGGACCTGGCTCTGGTGCTCCACCAATATAGTACTTGGTCCCTGAACATCCCTACTTTTAATGGTGTAAGTGAAACTCAAATTACCTGTTGATCCTGACAGATATCTTGTGTTTCCTGTACACTCTCTGCTCACTGTTAAGTTAGCATTGTTCCCAGCTATTTTTGTGGACTATAGAAAGCCTCCTACCCTATTCAATGGAGAAGAGAGGGATATGTTTTCGGTAGTCCAGTCTTAGGGAGACAACACTGCTCTAAAGAATACTGTACGATGAGTGAGCATAGTAACCTTAAGAAAAGAACAGTTTTGCTGGCAGGATCAACAGGTGAAAATAGGAAAAAAGTGGGGGGAAAAACGAATGCAGTCACTTCATCCAGGGACTGGCATGCCACAATATATATTAAATTTTTATTCTTGGGTTTAGATAAACTTTAGGACAGTCAGATTCTAGATCCCCATCCTAAAACTTTTAATATTTAGACACAGAGAGGCCATCTATCTATACATCATGAGAGTTGAATTTTGAAATTTGAATTCTTTTGAAGTACATGGGAAACTAATCTATTGTTACACAACTAATTCCCCTGTCACCTCTATAGAAACTTGGGAACCGGTTACTGTTTGAAGTCCAAGATGGTCATTGCAATTGACATACTGAATGAATTAGGGGGCTAATGGTTATTTCTGCTTCTGCACTAGATGGTTTTGTATAAAAACTAACTAGATTGTACATAGTCATGTAGAAAGTAATGAGATTGTAAAATTATACACACACTAAACAAATGCAATATCTCCTCTGTAAAATCATACTATACAGATATGCACAGGTCAGAAATGTATAACTATATGCAGGTTGTCAGCCACAATACTAAGAGAAAAAAGTTTTACACAAATGGACTTTTTTTCTTTTTATTAAATTGTCTTTGTTGCTTCAAAAAAAGGTTCTAATAAAATGTGCCTAGAAAAGAAACCTTGAAATACTTACCTCTGGTGATTTTTGCTGTCTTCAAAAGGCAGAATGTTTAACATTAGTTAGTTTGGGGGTGTCAGATGCCTGTGTCTCCTGCTGCACAGTTATGGTTCTCTCTGCTGGCCCTATGTCACTACTGGACACGGTAGTGATGTTGGGGCCCACAGGAGGTAACATTCAAGGTAGCTTGTGTGGGGTATAAAGGATCTGCTGTAGCATATAGCACTTAAAAAAGTGAAGTCTGGACCTCCAAATGGAGGAGTATGTATTCAGAGGCTTTTTTGCAGGCACAATTTATTAGATCATTTTTTTTGAACGGAATCCATGTAAGGGGTCTAATGTGTGGCCAAAATACTTTGCGTGATGAATTTGTACATCCATTCTGTGAGTCCCAACATCTTACCATGACATCTGCATGTAAGAAAAAACAGAAGAATGGCGCCTTCTTGTGAAATACTGATAATTTTATCCATATCTGTGAACCAGAGCAATGCTATTTGCTCTAAAGAAGAGGTACATCCCTTGAAACGCGTCAGAAGAACATTGCTCTGGTTCACAATTTGGTAGATCAGCCCAATGCCGACTTCTGTCCATCAGTCCAGATGGTTGTTCTGAAATTCTATGTAACAGACACCGCTTGTGAGTATTATTTTATTCTGTTTTATATGGATAAATAAACACGAGGAGAAGGCACTGTTCTGTTTTTTTCTCACATGTTTCCTGAGGCTTCCCAACCTTTTACAGAACAGCAGCCCCCTCTGTGCCATAATATTGATGTCCATCCCTAAATACTCCCTCCATTTGATGTTGTGAGACCCCCACTAAGCGCTGACAGATTGGAAAATACATCTTATAACATCTGCATGTCACAGCAGAAATCAAAATTTATCGGACAAGGCTCCAAATTTCCAATCATTCAGTTTTGGAGATTCCATGCTTTCATTTTCCTGTTGGTAGCTTTAAGAGTGCGACTTCCTGCTGTTGCGCTTCTGAAAAACAGAGTTGTAAAGAGTCTTTTGTTTTTTTTAGCACCTGTGGGCTTTGTGTGAGCTTGAACAAATATAGCCCTTCTTCTCTGACCTCTCTGGTGCTTATTCTAGTTAAGGAGCAAGTGTAGTTAATTCAAAATATAAGGTGTCGTGCTTACAGTAAATCTTTCAGTGAATGACTACCATACAATGTGCCATATGAAAGATCAACTTAAAACATCAAAGTATACATATAAACCAAAATCTGTGCAACATGTAATTATAACATTATACACTATATTGCCAAAAGTATTGGGACGCCGGCCTTTACACGCACATGAACTTTAATGGCATCCCAGTCTTAGTCCTTAGGGTTCAATATTGAGTTGGCCCACCCTTTGCAGTTATAACAGCTTCAACTCTTCTGGGAAGGCGTCCACAATGTTTAGTGGTGTGTCTATGGGAATGGCCTGGCTCGCAGTCCCCGCTCTAATTCATCCCAAAGGTGTTCTATCGGGTTGAGGTCAGGACTCTGTGTAACCCAGTCAAGTTCCTCCACCCCAAACTCACTCAGCCATGGACCTTGATTTGTGCACTGGTGCGCAGTCATGTTGGAACCGGAAGGGGCCATCCCCAAACTGTTCCCACAAAGTTGGGAGCATGAAATTGTCCAAAATGTCTTGGTATGCTGATGCCTTAAGAGTTCCCTTCACTGGAACTAAGGGGCCAAGCCCACCCCTGAAAAACAACCCCACACTCTAATCCCCCTCCTCCAAACTTTACACTTGGCACAATGTAGTCAGGCAAGTACTGTTCTGGCAACCGCCTAACCCATACACGTCCATCTGATTGCCAGAGAAGCGGGATTTGTGACTCCAGAGAACACGTCTCCACTTCTCTAGAGTCCAGTGGCGGCATGCTTTACACGACTGCACCTGACACTTTGCATTGCACTTGGTGCTGTAAGGCTTGGATGCTGCTGCTGGGCCATGAAAACCCATTCCATGAAGCTCTCTACGCACTGTTGTGCCAATCTGAAGGCCAGACGAAGTTTGGAGGTCTGTAGCTATTGACTCTGCAGACAGTTGGGGACTTCTGCACACTGTGCGCTTCAGCATGCACTGACCCCGCTCTGTCATTTTACGTGGCCTACCACTTCATGGCTGTATTGCTGTTGTTCCCACTTGCTTCCACTTTGTTATAATATCACTAACAGTTGACCGAGTAATATTTAGTAGCAAGGAAATTTCACGGATGGACTCTTTGCACAGGTGCAACCTATCACGGTACCACGCTTGAATTCACTGAGCTCCTGAGTGCGACCCATTCTTTCACAAATGTTTGTAGAAGCAGTCTGCATGCCTAGGTGCTTGATTTCATACACCTGTGGCCATGGTGGTGATTGGAACACCTGAATCCAATGATTTGGAGGGGTGTCCCAATACTTTTGGCAATATAGTGTATATGCACATCAAGTCTTTTTCAGTGAATATAAATTAATGCACAGCGCTAATCAATGCAAGTGAATACATGTGTATATACCAAATATCAATAAGTGACTACCATATGTGATCTAAAAATAAAAGTGTTATTCCTATACAGCGTATACCGCTAAATAAATATAAGTGGCAAGGATTAATCGTGAAACAAATTATGATTGTGTGAACAACCTATGAATAATGATAGAAGCAATTTTGTTCAAACCAAGAGAGGTTTTTTGAACAGGATGCAGCTAAAGAATGGGGTCAGAGAGTGGAATTGTAATGTAAAAAGGTTATGTTTATTGGATTTACAAAATAAAATAATTTTTCACATGAATCGACTGCACATTTAAATACCACTATCCCCACACCCTTTAAAAAATGGTCATTGCAATGATCCTTTCGTACAAATCCACACTCACACACAAACAGAGCTAGCTGAGAAATATTCTCTAGATCTTCAGGTGGTCCTCAATTATGAGGGAACAACGTTGGACTAAAGTGAAGGAGTGCAATATTGCATGTGTCAAATGCCTGGAAATTTCCTATTGAACTCGCTTGATATATTTCTCTTTTTCCTTGAAGTGTCTTTAAGTTATTAGTTAGTGGAGATTAAAGTCAATACGAGCTTTTAACTTGGATCCTGTAGACACCTTCTATGAACACAATGAGTGTTGCTACTATGGACACTTAATTGGTGACAACTTGTTTTATGCAAGGAAGCATAGGGATAGACCCGGTGAGTTGATATGCAGTATGCCGTTAAGTTATAATCACACCTGGCAAGCAAGACGCTTCCTGTGTAAAAGAACGCTGTGTAAAAGAAACTCGAGTAGGATTTACTCACGGCTACCTGGACTCTTTAAACCGGACGGTCAAACTCCCGAGACATATAGAACACTTAATTGGTGACAACTTGTTTTATGCAAGGAAGCATAGGGATAGACCCGGTGAGTTGATATGCAGTATGCCGTTAAGTTATAATCACACCTGGCGAGCAAGACGCTTCCCCTCTGTGTGTAAAAGAAACTCGAGTAGGATTTACTCACGGCTACCTGGACTCTTTAAACCGGACGGTCAAACTCCCGAGACATATAGGCACTTGATGTTTCAAATTCCAATTGTGCTTGCGTTGATGGTCACACAAGAAGCTCCAAGTAGACCTCCAAATCGTTTCTTTTAAGAGGAGCAAACGATTCCTAGAAAAGCCCCAGTTTGATCACAACTGTATCCAGGCTATTGGCATAGCAGATCCTTTTGTCCCGCTGTTCTGAATGACCACGCGGGTTGTTTTTCTTGTGCAGCAAGTGAGAGCCATTAAGTAGAGTGTGTGAACTCTCTATTAAATCGGGGTGAGGATCTCTGTGTACACCAACCCACTTGTTCTATGCAACCTATGAATAATGGTTTATAAATATCTCTGTGATCAGTTTAATAATGATAAAAAATGTCTATCTTCTTTTAAGGATGTCTTATTTTAAACTAAATGTTTATAAAACTATAAGTGACGTGATCTTCGTGCTTAATTTGTGAAAATTCCAAAACAAAAAATGTCTTTTTTTGTGTGAAAAATAAAACAATTATGCAATAATAAGAAAGTCTCTGTGATATTTATCAGTCCATTCCACGTGAGGAAACAAAGTGGTAAAATGTTCCAATTATTCAGTGATGTACACTTAGTCCTTATTCTGGGGAGTGTCTTGAGATCAATATCATTCCCCTCAAAGTGTGTACTCACCCCAGGTATCCGGCTGTAACAGACAGCCCCACACATTTGTATTTCCCAGAGCGGGATAGTTCGGTATGTTTTGCCGGCAATTTCTCCACACTCGATTCTTCAGTTAAAGCATGTCCATTCTCTCATGAAAAAAACGGAGAGAGGCCCTTCATAGTCTGGTTAAAGGTGGTTTATTCGTATATTTGAATTTTAAAACAAGAGGCATTAAAACAAGTCCGACCAGTTCGGCACCTTTCAGGTATGGTATGAGAAGACCCGCCCCTACGCGTTTCGTCACCAACTACGTCTTCAGGGTGACGTCTTCATGCTTAATTTTCACAAATTAAGCACGAAAATCACGTCACTTATAGTTTTATAAACATTTAGTTTAAAATAAGACATCCTTAAAAGAAGATAAGCACATTTTTTAACATTATTAAACTGATCACAGAGATATTTATAAACCATTATTCATAGCTTGTTCACACAATCATAATTTGTTTCACGATTAATCCTTGCCACTTATATTTATTTAGCGGTATACACTGTATAGGAATAACACTTTTATTTTTAGATCACATATGGTAGTCACTTATTGATATTTGGTATATACACATGTATTCACTTGCATTGATTAGCGCTGTGCATTAATTTATATTCATTTTGTTAGACCGTAAGGATCTATATCGCAGCAGCTTTAAATGTATACACTTCACTAATTTAATTGGTAGTGTTGTAGATTCATTGGAAATAGTAGCGCTGCCCATTCAGTTAAAACGAAGTCTTTTTCAGTGCTTGACAATCTGGAAAGCACTACGGTTTGTCTTTTATCTCCCTATGATGGGACTTGGAGAAGAAGAGGTGTGGAGCTCGGTATGATGTAGGGAGTCATTATGGAAGAAGAGTGCGGTCTCCATTAGCCCCCAGGGATCAAAGAAGGATCTTGTTGCCCCCTAGGGAAATCTGCCTAAAAGACCGTTTAAAATTTAAAGGCGTCATCAATAAGGTGAGCTCATTTCCACGTGATGACAGCCCAAATTTTATGATTACTTGTTACACAGATTTGGTTTATAGGTATATTTTGATGTTTTAAGCCAATAGTTTGTAAAGCACATTGTATAGTAGTCATTCACTGAAAGATTTACTGTAAGTGTGGCACCTTATATTTTTACTTAAAGTACTCATGGTGAACCTTGGTTCATTTAGTGCTCGCAGCTATTTGGGTTTTATTTTGATTTAGAGGTTTTTCGTGGAACTCTATACTTAATAGGTGTAGGTAATAAGGTGATCACTCAGCATATATGTATTTCTACTGTATAGTTATCTTTACTCTTTACCATCCTTGTCAAAAACCAATGCAATCTGTAAGTGACTACATTATAAATGGTGCACACAGTACCCAAAAGATGCTAAATATTATCTCTTCAAAGCCTTACAGACAGAAATCTCTTAATTGAAGCTCCTCAGTATGGGACATGTAATGTATATTCCCTTTAGGACAGCTATGAGTGCACATGGGAGCCTGTTGATCATTGTCAAACATCACTGTTCCAGACAGTTCTGATCTCTACTAATGAGTGGGACCAATCAATATGACATAGTGTTTACATGGAAGTTGTCAGCTTTGTTTATAATAACCATTACAACTAGCTGAGGCCACATCTGCCTGAACATAGCAGTTTGACTGTTTAATACTGTAAAGTTTAGATACAATTACAGTATTAAAAAGATACAAATGGCCATTTATTAGCATATAACATAAAAGGCTGTGTAATAAAACAGTGTAATAAACAAAAATGTATTTAACAATGTAAACCATATTAGGGAAGACAAATTAGTCACAGGGGTATACTTAGAAAGTAGTGAATGTAACATTCACTGCAAGTGAATCTTTCTGGTGCATGTGTTTTAAATTACAGTAGATGATTTGCCTGCAGTGAATGTTTTGTAATTATAAAATTCACTGCTTATAGCCAGATAATCTGATGCTGCTAAATTTAGTCTGGGCATCTATGCATCAACGATCTCTGGTCTCAACCGGGTTAATGATTGTTTCTACAAGCTGGTAGTCTTTTAATCTGTCAGCAACAGGAAAGGAGGTTGTGTGCAAAACATCACACTGGTATTGTTGCAAAATGCCTACTTCCTAATTTCTTTTTTTACACAGCTACTGTTTTCATGTTTCTTCAGTGAATATGCTAAATTGTATCTTCTGGAAAGGATCGTGGAATATGAAATTATAGTGTGGGATCAGGTAACACTCACTAGTACTGTACCTCACAGGTAAATGGCTGCCCATAATTTTACAAATTTACCACCTTGTATAACAGTTGGTTAAACAATGTGGCAAATCTGTCTTGATGTATGAAATAAGTTAAAGATGAGTCAGCAGGGTTGTACCCCTTACACCAGGTTATGTATCTTTGTACGCTGCCTTTGGGTATGAATGGTGCCAACCCTACCATGAACTTCAGTATTGTTTAGCTGCACTTTTTATTGGGAGTCGTTCATGCTGATGCTGGTTCAATTCTTTGTACTTCTGTGTTTTACAATTGTTCTGTGAAGTAGCTGTATGTTTGTCGAGCTTCAGTTTGCAGTCATAACTTCTCTTTGCCAAGACTACTTATTATCTACCTCCCAGCCAATTAGAAAAAAAAAAAAAAGTTGAGTAGAGTGACAGAGTTCAAAGATAAACTTATTTGGTTCAGATGGGGTCAAGCGTGTGTGGTGGCAACCAGGTGAGGAGTACAAAGACAAGTGTGTCTTGCCTACAGTCAAGCATGGTGGTGGGAGTGTCATGGTCTGGGGTTGCATGAGTTTTGCCGGCACTGGGGAGCTACAGTACATAGAAGGAAACATGAATGCCAACATGTACTGTGACATACTGAAGCAGAGCATGATCCCCTCCCTTCGGAGACTGGGCCGCAGGGCAGTATTCCAACATGATAGAACCCCCCAAACACAACTCCAAGACGACCACTGCCTTGTTAAAGAAGCTGAGGGTAAAGGTGATGGACTGGCCAAGCATGTCTGCAGACCTAAACCCTACTGAGCATCTGTGGAGCATCCACAAACAGAAGGTGGAGGAGCGCATGGTCTCTAACGTCCACCAGCTCCGTGATGTCGTCATGGAGGAGAGGAAGAGAACTCTAGTGGCAACCTGTGAAGCTCTGGTGAACTCCATGCCCAAGAGGGTTAAGGCAGTGCTGGAAAAAAATGGTGGCCACATAAAATATTGACACTTTGGGCCCAATTTGGACATTTTCACTTATTATTATATTATTATATTATTATACAGGATTTATATAGCGCCAACAGTTTGTGCAGCGCTTTACAATATAAGGAAGACATTACAATTACAATACAATTCAAGACAATATGGTGAGGAGGGCCCTGCCCCTGAGGGCTTACAATCTAACGGGAGGGGGAAGTGATGCGTGAGGAGGTAGCTGTGTGGGGATGACAGAACGGGGGAGACTCTGGTTGACAAGGGAGCTAGAGAGCGAGAGGTCTTGGGAGGAGCGTAGGGGACGTTTAGGGTGATACTTGGAGACAAGGTTTGAGATATAGACGGGGCAGAGTTGTGGATGGCTTTGTAAGTGGTTGTTAATATTTTGAATGTTATCCTTTGGGCGATTGGAAGCCAGTGCAGGGATTGACAGAGGGGGGTTGCAGAGACTGAACGGTGGGTTAGGTAATGGGTCTGGCAGCAGCATTTATGATAGACTGAAGAGGGGATAGCCTGTGTAGGCCAATGAGGAGGGAGTTACAGTAGTCAAGACGAGAGATAATAAGGGAGTGGATAAGCAGCTTTGTGGTTTCATTGGTGAGGAAGGGGCGTATTTTGGAGATGTTACGAAGGTGAAGGCGGCAGGATTTGGATAGTGATTGGATGTGGGGAAGAAAGGTGAGGTCCGAGTCACGGATGACACCCAGCACCACTTAGGGGTGTACTCACTTTTGTTGCCAGCGGTTTAGACATTAATGGCTGTGTGTTGAGTTATTTTGAGGGGACAGCAAATGTACATTGATATACAAGCTGTACACTCACTACTTTACATTGTAGCAAAGTGTAATTATTTCAGTGTCGTCACATGAAATGATATAATAAAATACTTACAAAAATGTGAGGGGTGTACTCACGCCTGTGAGATACACACACACACACACGCACACACACAACACACCGATCAGCCATAAAGTGAGAGGTGAATTGGATAACATTAATTATCTCGTTACAATGGCACCTTGTAGTGGGTGGGATATATTAGGCAGCAAGCAACCCCAAAACTCTAGCTCTTGTGGGAACCACCCAGTCTGCAGTTGTCAGGACCTACCAAAAGTGATCCAAGGAAGGACAACCAGTGAACCAGCGACAGGGTTATGGGTAGCCAAGGCTCATTGATGCACATGGGTAGCGGAGGCTGGCCCGTGCAGTCCAATGCAATAGATGAGCTACAGTGGCACAAATTGGTGAAAAATGTAATGCTGGCTCCAAAAGAAAGGTCAGTGAACACACAGTGCATTGTAGTTGTGCATTGATGTGTATGGGGTTGTGTAGCTGCAGACCGGTCAGGGTGCCAATGCTGATCTGTGTCCACTGGCAAAAGTGCCTACAATTTTGCATGTGAGCATCAGAACTGGATCATGGAGCAATGGAAGAAGGTGACCCAGTCTGATGATTCTGGTTTTCTTTTAAATCATGTGGATGGCCTGGTGTGTGTGTGTCACTTACCCGTGGAAGAGATGGCACCAGGATGTACTATGGGAAGAAAGAAAGCCAATGGAGGCAGTTTGATACTTTGCATAATGTTGTGCTGGGAAACCTTCGGTCCTACCATTCATGTGTATGTTATTCTGACATGTACCACATAGAGATCTTTATCCCTTGATGCATTGATCGTGTGTGCACGCAATCATAGCATCAAAATATGTGTTAATGTGTTTACATGAATTTAGAAGTTCAAATTTTTTGTTAGATGCACCTGACTTCTATTTTTTGATGGATAAAAGTAGATGCAAGGTGTGAATATACCCATTGAATATACCACATATCAAGGTGTGAATATACCACATCTAAAAGCATCACACATTGGGGGTGATTTACTAACCTAAACACACGCACGCACTAGGTGCGTGTGATTTTCACACAGCAAAACGTATTTATCAACCAAAAAGTCTCTAAAAGCATATTTCCACTAATGCCATATATGGAAAAATCATGCACATGATGCATATATAATGCTGCTTCACAGTTTAGACAAAAATGGTTAGCTCATGCATTTACATTCCTGCATTCATCAACGCAAGCAACACAACATAGAGCTAATTTACACAACATCACCTTGCAATTCATGCTTGGCTTTGCACAACACACCTGCTGGGTGTGTACACACTACAAAGGTGTTTAGATTCCACCCATAGATCATGCTGGGAGGGAACACACTACAGAGGTGTATACATGTTCGTGATGTGTTTATAAGGTTAGTAAATCAACCCCATTGTGTCAATGAAAACTAAAATGTAGAGGGATTTACATAGCTGTGGAGATCCTGACAAGTCAAGTGTTAAGCTAGGATCTCATGTCTTCATCAGGGGAAGTTTCTTAACTCTCCTAAAACATTTATATTGCAACTCATTGAGAATTTGTACAAGCCACACACATTACATTTGCAAGAAACCTTCATTTGTATTATTATGGAACATCTTATCAGTACAATATTAGGAGACTGGCTGTCTATGGCTCTCAACTTAATCTTCCAAGGACATTCCAACAACACATTCTGAGGACATTGTTTCTAATAACATCTTCTGCAAGGTCATTGTAGCAAGCAGACCTGTTATACTAACATTAGCCTATAAGCATTTAATATTGTCTTTTAACTTTTATTAAAACATATTTATTTTCACCTGTCGATCCTGTCAGTAACACACTTACTATCCTAGGGTGACAACACAACTCACTGTAATGTACCTATGGAGGAGCAGTGTTGTCACTCTAGGACAGGAACAAACATACCCTAACCCAACTGTTATAGGCAAATCTGATTCATTTTTTTTTAATCTTCTAAAAAATGGCCTATGTGGGGCTAGCTACAGTCTTGCATTAAGAGATTAGTGTTTCCATTTAAGCAAGGGTATATGAATTTTTGGGCCTAAGTTAACCAAACAAGCTGAAAACTATAGGTCAGTTGTGGAAATCTGTCCCTGTAATCTGTTTTGCTACACAGACCCTAAAATTATGAGAAAAATCAATTGGGAGAGACCTGGAAAATGAAGGTGCCATGGATGGAGAGGGCCCTTACTTCCTCTTCAGATTATCCGGGCCCCCATGATCTGAGATAAATAGGGATACCCTATGTGTTTATAAGTTCCAACATGGCTGTGAGTTCAGCGGCATTAAATAGTGAATTCCAGGTGGAAAAGTAGAACTTAAAGGAGAACTATGGGGTCAATGTTTTTCCCCATAGTTCTCCTTGGGGTAACGGGAGGACACAAACTAGCGTCCTCCCGTCACCCTAAGCTCAGTATACCGCGAGCTACAGCTCGCGGTATACTGAGACGGCGCACCTGGAGCGGATCCCGACTTAGATGACGGGATCCGCCCAGCTGCGTGAGTGACAGCTGGCTCTGCCTATCTAGAGGCAGAGCCAGCTGTACCCGCCCCCTCCCCCGTCCGTTCCGCCAGTCAGCGCTGGCAGATCGGAGCGGGGAGAGGGGAATCCAGCCCCTCCCCCTGTCACGGCAGAGAGCCGTGACAGGATCGAGAGGTGAGGGAACCCGGTATGTTTTCCCTCACTTTAACCAACCCTATTCATGCCTGAGCATTGTATTGGGGTATGGTTGGGCCCATCTTTAGCCACCAAGATTGACAAGATTTACTAGGTGTCACTTACTGTAGTTGGCACAGTATATTTGCAATTTGTGGGTGTCCGTACTTGTGCGCAGACAGGATGGGTCCTGTCTGCGTCCGAGAACGGACACCCGCACGGATGTGCGGATGTGAGTGTACGGCTGTGTACAGCCGCATACTCCCATAGAGAAGAACAATCACACGCAGCACCTGTCCTTCCTGGGAACGGCCCGGAACGGCCATGCACGCCGCACGGATCTGTAAGGGCCAGCTCTTATTAGTGTGAATGAGGCTTAAAGGGTGGTTATATGAAGAAATCTCTTTAGAGCATTTAATGACACTATCAGAGACTTGACGTATTTTGTTCCAAATTTCATTTAAACATTACATTTTAGAAATTAATGGAGTTTCCCAAGCAAAAAACACATTCTCTGAATTTCGTTCATTGGTGAAAAATGTTCCATTTTGCTCTCTCAATTTTTGGTCACTACAGTTGAAAATGATCATCAAATTGACCCTATTAACTAATAGTAAATCGAGAGATTGACTGACCGTGTGCTTTAGACAGCTAGCTCAGCTGTGCCCACAAGTTCAACCCTGATTTGGTCTTTGGAGCAGGTGCCCTTCCAATAATAGATCTTATTGTGCTTATTGGCAGTATCTGAAAATAGAATACTCAGAGAAAACTTGTATTAAGAGAAAGAGGTGAGCTGCTATACTGGTCCAGTGACTTCAATCCTTTGGGTCACCAAACTGCAGCAAAGATTCAGATGAGTTCTGACTCTGGTGCTTTCAGTCAATGATTTAGTATGAAAGTCAAAGAAAGGCAGCTGGCATGTTCAGATACAGGTTAGCAGTATAAACTTGAGTAAAGGTTCCCTTCAAACCCAAGATGTAATTCATGATTCCTCACGCAGTGTAGAATGGAACAGGGCTACAGTGTGAATTAACACAAAAAGAAATTGCAGTAAACAGTTAATCTGTATATGCTTTCAGACAAACGAGATTTGTCAAAACTGACTTTCTCATCTAGTGGTGACCTTTTCCTCTACATATCTGAAAATGTTACTTTCAGTGCATTATTCATTTATATTATGACTTAATAAATGTCACTGTCATTTGTACACTTGTCAGTTCAAATTGCCACAGACTTTACATTAGTACTTTCAGACACCCTAGTTATATTAAGAGAAGAATACAGGGAGTAAAGATGGTGTTTTAGTTCCCACCTTAGTTTCACGTTGATAATCATAATAATATAGTATAAGCATTATTTTAGTCGATTTGAGATAATGATTGTTTAGTTGAATGCAAAAATATAAGTTACAAAGGCCAATTTTTAAATAATCAGTATGGTGTGTTTTTGAATGATTAAGAAGTGCTTAGACTCATAGGGTGACACTTAAAGAAGGACTCAGGGCCGAATAAAACTTAACTCTTGCAGTGGGGCTGCAAGTGCTCGTTTTGGTCTAGGGTGTAAAATAAAAAAGAGATATGCACTTGAACCTTGGTCCCATCTGGCCT